TTTTATTAAATTGGCCTATTTAATGTATTTGAGATATACTTTTGAATGTATTTATAATATACTGGTTTTAATTGTATTTTTTTTCTTTTTTCTATGAGTAATAGAAATAAACTGATTAATAATTGGGAAATCCACCCTATCATTTAAAAGGCATATAAACATTTCTGAACCCAGGTATTAAAACTAATAACCCCTGACTTACCCACCGTAGATTATTATAGTATGAATAATGTGGCCTCATGTATGTCAAAGTGTTCATTTATTAATTAAGACTAAATATGTGTTAAGCATTTTACAAGGTGTTGGAAAAACTTAATACATTGGGAAGAATCTTAAGGAAAAATAATTCAAATATTATATGTGGAAAGTTTTCTTGAGGTCATAAATGGTTTTCATTTATTGGGCTTTTACTATTGCGAGGCACAGTGCCACATAATTTATATTCATTATTTCATTTAAGTCTTTTGACACTCTTGTGATGTTATGGTTATTGTCCTTTTACAGAGGAGGAGAGGGGTTCAGAGAATTGTGTTCCTTTAAGTGCCTTTTGAGCACCTATTTGTCCAACAGGCATGTTGCCCTGCCCTGATGGAGCTTACTTAAATGTCAGAGGGGAAGACAGACCTTAATCAAATAATCATATAGGTATATACATATAATATTACACTTACCTACACTAGATCATAGATAAATTATAAATATAACGTTCACAACTGTGGTAAGTGCTATGACAGAAAGATCCCTTGTGAAACAAAACTAATGGGGAATTTGCGTAGATTAGATGAGAGCAGCTGCCCTGGGGGATGGAAGTACTATTTGAGTTGAAATCTGAAAGATGAGCAGGAGCGAGAAGCGGGCATGTAGAGGGGCTCTAGTCCTTGACTGCCTAGCTGTGAATGGGATTATAAGATTTCCAGTCAGAGGGACGGAGAGCTCACACACACCTTGGTCTGAATCCTGTGCCTTTACTAGTTGAGCAACAGACGAGGTACGTAATTGTCTCTATCTTCGTTTCCTTGTTTGTGAAATAAAGAGAATAATATTACCAAATTTGTGGTATTGAGGACTTAAGAACGTTAATGTTTGTCAAGTTTTTAGCACAGCATCTAGAAAAATAACAACTATTTAGTAAATCTAGCTATTATGAATAATAATAGATAATCGTTTACTGTTATAAAGAAATTTAAAAATCCTGCCTTTGGTAGAAGACAAGACAGGAATAAAAAGGGAGAGATGGTGCTTCTCAGACCTGTGTAAGGGCTTCCTTCTGTTCTTAGGGTCTCGCCTCTAAACCCCTGCCCACAAACTGACTGTGAAGTCCTTGAGCACAAGGACTCTGCCATCTATTTCCTGCCACTTAACATAGTACTTGGCTCTAAAGTGATGATTTTTGCATAGTGAGGATATTTGAAGCTGTAGGAGGGGATGCAATTGCCAAATTAAAGAGCAAAGAGCCTGGTCATGGGAAACACCTGTATTTATTTACAGTGGAGAGAGTGAAAAGTTGCTGCCAGAAAAACTAGGATAGTTGGTCTCTATGCAGGAAAGTTAGAGCTGCAAGCTACATCGAGGTCTGGGAGGACAAGGAGACTGGAAAAGGAACCAGATGTGATGAGAACGTTCCTCTTGGAGAGAGCGGTTTCAGTTGCAGAATTCAGATTACAAAATTAACATGTAGATGGTAGTGAGGAAGTGGAAGCAGTTGGTGCTGGGTGCATGGATTTTACTTTCAAGAAATCCATTGTAAAGGTAAGCAGAAGGGATACTTTTAATAAGTTGCAGGCGCTTAAGAAAGTTCATTATTGCTGTTGTTATTAATTGGGGCTTGGGGGTGCTGGTCATGTAAGAATTACAGGGCACTCTTGATGAATCTGGGTCCTGGAGGCTTGGAGGGTTGGTAGCCTGGGTTAGTCTGACCTACGTAAGGATCCCTGTTTATTTAGGTGGGAACAATCTGACTAGATTGTCTGTACTTCTTTTTGATGTCCCCTTTCTGCCGTTTGTCGTCATCTCTGGATTTTCTATAGTTCATAGTGCTCAACAGTGAGTGGGTAGAACTCATATGTTAGGTGAAGGAAGAAATGAATGTACTCATAAAAATGAAAGCTTATCCATTTCTGCTCTTCCCAACTGTCTCCTTGTAAAGCATGTACATTTTTGAGGCTTAACTGGCTTTGATAGTTTTATGATTATTTATTTATTTTTTTTAAGTGTGCGCAAGTTGGCAAGTGATCACATTGGTTCTATTTTATTGTGAATAAATAGTATGTCAAAGTTTTATGTCGTTTCAAAAATGTTATTTAGAGTAAAACTTCCTTTGAAGCCACAATATTCTCTTACTCAAAATATTTATTTAGACCATATTGTTTAAATATATATAAGTCCCTTAAGGAACAATTGTAGTGTATATAAATATGGATTTAAAACAAATAGACCTTCTGGAATTCATAGAAATATAAAATGGATATTCCAGTACTTAAATGTTTATATACAAAAGGAGTTGAGGTGTTCTAATGTTTGTATGTTTAGGTACAAAAAGAGTAGAATTTATAAAGAAAGATGATGATCTGAGAAGTTTAATTCCCAAATGTGCCAGACATATAAAGTTATTTAGGAAGAGAAAATATTTGAATCATAAACTAGTTTAGAGGAAACGAATCGATTCAACCAGTGAATAAATAAATATATATAAAAATAAGGCAATTTCAGAATCTTAATTTGTTTGGGTACTGAATATAGCTATAATTTAAAAATGTGCTTTTAAACACCATGAACAATTAGGCTACTTTTATAAAATAATTAAATATTATCAAATTAATGACTTAAAATATGTATGTCTTTTGTGCCTGAGTTCACATATAGTCAGTCCTTGAGAGATCATCTCTTTTTATTGGTCATCCCATAATTTTGGTAATGCCAGGGTTTTTTTGTTTTGTTTTCAGAACTTATGAAAGCTTTTATTATCACACTTAAGATTATATAAATATTTTAATGTTAACTTGGTTGCCATATCTGAATTTATAATGGGATAGTTTGTAAAGTGCCCTTTTTTTTTTAGCAGAAATGCTGCCCTCTAAATGTTTTTGTTTTGACTGTAGTTCAATCAAGTTGTGATTTCATTAACTAATGATCATGTTATTTAAAGAAGCTCTTTCTAACCTGGAATGTTCTGAAATATTGTTCAGTCGGTAACTATTGAATTTGAATTCAGAAATTTTGGGAGAAGCATTTCCCCTTATAACATGCAAAAACCTATATTATTCTTGCTTAGTCAGCACTTCCTTTGGTGTCCCTATTTCTTATTACTAGTTCCTTTAATTACAAATACATGCAGCAAAGTTTTACAACCTAGGTGGTATGTAATTAGACTGTTGACAGTGGAGAGAGACCCTGAAATGTCAAGCAGATTATACAACTGAGTGTTTCCCTAGTGGTAATAGAGGAACAACTTAGGGATGGAAGTGAAGTAAGAAAGAAGTGTTCAGTGAGGTCTGTTCAGAAACTGAACAGGGACCTGTAGGTTTAATGTTTATTAATGAAAGGAGAATATTTTAAACTTGCCTGATCCAAAGCATAGGGAACAGCAAAAGCCTGTTCAGTCTTATTCTCTATAAATGGAATTTGACCCAATCGTATTAATGATTTCTCAAATACTGTCTGTTACAAATGAGACAGTTTATGTAAAAATCCAAATGATTCCAGGAATATGAGCATCTGGAGGTGTGTAACTGAGCGTAGCTTTGAGGCACAGAATTGCAGTTGCAAGTAGCCCCATGCCTCCCCCCAATCAGTAATCATTGATTGCATATAAAGCTATAGAGAGATCTTTTCCTGGCAGTTCAGGTAGTTACAGTAGATTGTTAATCTGTGAATGATTGGACTAAATCCCTTCCATCTTCAGAATTTCCATGCAAATTAGAACTAAATGTATGAGATAAATTTATTAATTGTAGTCTAGGAGCATAGGTCAGCTTTAGCACAATTCTAAAGTATAGGTTTTTATCCATAAAAAAAGTTACCCTTCATTTATACTAATTTCCTATGGACTCACTTTATAATATAAACTGGTGAGATGCTTTTTAAAAGTACTTGTAGCCCTGGCCAGTTTGGCTCAGCGGTTGAGCGTTGGCCTGCAGACTAGAGAGTCCTGGGTTCGGTTTCCGCTAGGAGCACGTACCACCAAACAACAACAAAAAAAAAAGTACTTGTAAAGAAATGAAAGACTTTAGAGTATGTTTTTCAGTTTCTGAGATAGAGTTGGATTGTTCCAGATATAAAATTTTCCCATAAATAGCTTTTCCTATTCTCCGTCTGAACTTAAAACAAATTTAGACTTATTTTCTTGCATCACCATTAAAATAAAAGGAGGGCTGTTTTGTATTTGTCAGAATAGGAATGAAAGTGGAATTAATATATCAAGGGGAGGGAGAGACAAGGAATTGGGAAGGGATAGATAATACTGAAAGTATGTGGTATACTAGGTCTTACTGGGCTAATAGGAGTGTATTTCAAAATGTCTCTGAAAGATGAACAAAGTATTTAAGTGAAACTCAACATAAGAAATATAATATCCTAATATTTATATGTCTTATTTTATTTGTATCAGTATTTCACTTGAACATTATCATATTTGAATGTAAACTTTTTGCATTACTGCCAAATGGATAAACTTAAATAGGAATAGCCGCAATATTTTTTTCTCTTTTTGGATCCTAGTGTTACAAATCCAGCATTTTGTAGAGTAAATAATCCTTTATTCTTATTCTACTCTGTTTCTAATTTAAAGGTTATGTATGAATGATATGAAATACTGTCTTAGTGAATGAGCCTTGTTTTCTTACATTTCTTAAAAGAGATTTTGATGGTATCAAAAACCCCTCCAGGCCCCTACCAACATGAAGACTTTAAAATGGAAGTGGGAGCTACTTTAGTAAAATGTGAAAGAAATAAAGTACCTTTGAACAGATGCTGATGCTTTTCCCCCTCCTTTATTTTTTCAGGCCATCCGCTGCACACTGGTCAACTGCACGTGTGAATGTTTTCAGCCAGGGAAGATTAACCTGAGGACTTGCGATCAGTGTAAACATGGCTGGGTGGCACATGGTGAGGAAAATCTGGACCTTTCTTTCTATTCTTGTTATGTTCATGTGAATATACATGTCTTTTTAGGGCTATCACTGGTCTGGAGAAGAAAGGAATCAGCTGTGCTCCAAGTGTCAGTTAATATCCAAGACATTAGGGTTAGGTGAGCCGCCCTCAGCGGAAGGGTGAGGTGTTTATAGGACTGTTTGGGTCATGGGATTTTGCCTGGACATCGCAGCAGGCAGCGAGCACCAGGCCTGATGGATGGATACTCAAACACACCACAGTTGGCCTTTCAGAGCCTGGACCTCAGAGGGAAACTGGCAAATCCTTTTCGCTTTAGGAGAATTTCTTAATGACTGTTTATTCTTGTCATATGTTTTGGGGACTGAGTTTATCCTCCCAGATGTTACATTTTATATGATCTAATGTGGGTGACAAAGTGAACGGGAATATTGTTTAGCTGGTATCTGAGAAAATAATCTGTAAATAACCCCTTTCAGTGTGTGCTGGGATTGGAGGTGGCCAGTATTGGTGGTGTGAGCTCTGTGTAGGTGTCTGCTGGGGACAAGGGTGACCCAGGGCCAAGGCTGGGAGTGTTGAGACTTTTTGCCAGATGTGCAGAACTGTCCATCCATGTGCCCTAGGCATTTCACTTGTTGTAATGTATGGTTTATGTTTTTTACGTTTAGGCAAAAGGAGACTTGTAAATAAGCAGAAATATTTTCTAGACTATAGAATTTTAAAAGATAAGTAATGTTTATAAAAGAAATTCTGGCTTGAGATTTCTTTGACAGTCTGGGGTACTGGATCTTAAGTGGACATATTCTTCCTTCCTAAGCGGTGCCAAATATCCAGTGGGTTGTAGTTTTATAAATATCATGTTATTCTAGCAAGATCTGAGGTAACAGTACCAGGACATGCCTTGAAATGCTTTTCATTGACCATGTACCTTGCTTGTGAGGTCATGTATGTTAGCCTGTGGGGACATTTCGGCCATGTTTCTGTGAGGAAGAGAGAGAAGGGGTAGACATAGAGGGATGAGGTGACATACTGGAAGGGGTGTGCCTGGCAGGCATAGACACAGTCCCTCAGTGCCCCTGGGGATGGAACTTGTTCCTGCTTCAGTTACAGGCCAACATCTTTAACAACCCTCAGTCCAGTTTTGAAGAACAGATGAGCTTCCGTTACTTATGTAGTCTATGTTTGTTACTACATTGGATGATTTCTTCTCTGTCCCTATATTAGATTGTTAGGACTGCCGTAACAAAATACCACAGATTGGGTGGCCTTAACATCAGAAATTTCTGGCGACTAGAAGTCCAGAATCAGGGTGTTGTCAAGGTTGGTTTCAGTCTGAGAACTCTCTTTTTGGCTTACAGATGGCTGCCCTCTTGCTATGTCCTCGAGTGGTCTTTCCTCTGTGGGTGCACATCCCTGATGCACCTGTATTCACATTTCTTCTTCTTATAAGGACACTGGTCATATTGGATTAGTGACTACTTTACTGACCTCATTTTAATGTAATCACCTCTGTAAAGGCCCTGTCTCCAAATACAGTCACATTCTGAAGTTGTAGTGGAGGTTAAGGCTTCAGTCTGTGAATTTTGGGGGAACACAGTCAGCCCATTAACACTTTCGAAATATACTTTTCAACCTGAACAAGTATTGGCTTTGCTAGGTACAAGCTTATGTCGTAAGCCCATCAAGATTCATGGGGCAGTATTGTGTTCATTCTTGGCTCTGCAACTTCAATGGCATGTAGATCAGTATCTCTATATCTCGTGGATTTTTGCTTTGATCTATAACATAAGATTAATAATGCTTATTTCATAGGATTATTGTAAGAATTAAAGATAAAGTATATGAAGCCGTTAAAATATATAATACATGTGAAAAGTAACAAACTTGTCAATGGATGGGCAATAAAGGGGGTCAGCTATTAAACCAAGAACTTTTCATTTATACACTCTCATTTTTTCCAAAGCCGTCCTGTGTTGCCATCATCTATCTACTGTGGTAGCCTTGTGAGTACAGAAGTTGACTGCCCCCAGTTTGTTTCATCTCTCTAACCTCCACGTGCATATTGCATTAGCAGTGTAATGGGGGGTAGGGAAGCAATAATTCTTCCTTCTTGGACAACATAAATTATTCCTGGCCAGTGGTTGTTTCTAAGGCTTTCTAAAGGATGTAATTTTTCACCAAACTTGAATAAGGTATTTCTGTTATATCAGACTGTGCTTTTCCTACTGTCATTAGAAATTCTATGATCCTGGGATACTACTTTTGGAGTTCCATAGATTTTGCTTTTCCCTCACCACTATTATCACTCTGACCTCACTTTTCTCCACAACATGGACCTGTCTGTATACAATTCAAAATATGTACATGCAGATATACAAATCCCACTCTTCCCCCATTCATGGGCAAATATAACAGTGAGGGGTTAGCTTCTAGCTTTTGAGTTGGCAGTGGGATGAGAGAACCCACCGTTTTTGCCCTTAGCATTTCAACTAATTGCCTCATTCTCTCCCCCTGCACAGAAACCCTGAAATCATGTCTCCAATTATTTCTGCTCAGAGGTGAAACACAGAGTCTTCCTGGCTGCCTTACACAGTGCAGGGTCCTATGTGTAGGACAAGAAGGAAGCAACTTGTTTTTTCTACTGAGTGGTTTTAAGCGAATGGAACAGCAATAAAACTACCAAGATAGATCTTGTAGAAGTGTTTCATCGTAGCACTGAACACATTCCACCTTTATTGTACTGTAAAAAAATGTGTTATGTTTGCTGTTGAAAAATAACCAGGTACCAAAATCAGGTGTTCTCTACAGAAAGAATTTTTAGAGAACTTTTGGCCTCTTTTGAATAAATGTCTTCCTATATCTCCTTTGTTAGCAGCATGTTGGATTTCATGGGTCATTGTACATTTTATATATATATGTAATATATAATATACATATTATATATATATATATATATATATATATACACACACACACAAACACACAACAACTCACTCACTTCATTACTTTACAAATTGCTTCTCAAACCTACTTGAATTGTTGACATTAATGGCTTTACAAAAATCTTGAGAAAGGTGTTTTAAAAATTAAAGAGAGTGGGTGATTAATTTATCATACTATAACACCTGGGTTTTTTAATTGCTCACTGGGCCCTGTTGCTATTCACAAATTACTTCCTGGAAATCTTTAGCACCATTGACTTAAGGGAATGAGGGGAACAACAACAAAAAGTAGTTCCTTGAATATAAATAGGTATTTCCTACTGAATTAATAAAGGATTTCCTGCCCTTTTCCCCCCATTAGTGAATTTTAGCTCTTTCACTTTGATAATAGAAAGCTGAGCTTTACTATAGTTAACTTTATTTAAAATGAACCTTTTCGGGTATAGAATGTCCATGCCTACAGCCTACAGTGACTTAGTTGGTATGCCAGAAATAGCTGAGTTTCTAATTTTGTCATAATATTTCTGTTTAGAGTTCTTGGATAAAGAAAAGACTTAAGCCCTAGTCAGTTGCTCAGTGGTTAGCACGTCATCCTGAAGACTGAAGGGTTGAGGGTTCGATTCCCGGTCAAGGACACATACCTGGGTTGCAGGTTTGATCCTGCCCTGGTTGGGGTCATGCAGGAGGCAACCTATCAATGTGTCTCTCTTGCATTGATGTTTCTCTCTTTCTCTCTCCCTCCCTCTCTTCTACTCTCTCTAAGAATCAATGGGAAAATATCCTCAAGTAAGGATTAACAACAACAACAACAAAAAAAGACTTCAGCATACTGCCACTTAATTCACTTAACACTATATTCTTTTTTCTCCTCTGTTTTGCCATTGTCTTTTCTATGCTTCAGTCACCTTTGTTGATCAGAGTGAGTCTGGGAGGAAAACAACAAAAAACATATTCTACAAGTTCTTGGTTCAAAAGTGCCAAAATAAGATATCAGGCTTCTTTGTCTGGTGACATAAATGTTTACAAGTTTGTTGTGTTTCGAGCCTTTCCTACCATTGAGAGTAGTAATTCTTCCATTCACAGAATGAAAACTTCAGCCAATGATTTTTTACATGGTCTTAGGAATCAGCAAGTACTTCCATTATATACCCAATGGTGGGTAAGGGTGGGGAGAGAGAAGTATGCTCCCTACTCATCATTTTCCTCTGAAGAATCTGCTTGTAATGAGAAGTGTTATAATAGGACTTGGTTGCCTTCGTGAAAAACTGATGGCATGGTGAAAGGTTAAGAACGATTGTACTAAGCCATTCTTATTTATTATTTGCAAATTCGTTTTAATGTCCATGGTCTAGATAACGACTTTATTTTTAAACCATTAACAATATAAATAAAGTAGTAAAAAAATTTTTGAGTAAATTAACTTTCTAAATGATTTTTAGGAAATATTTAATGATAATCCAAAACATCTGAAAACTCATTTTTGTTTTTACCATTATGGAGTATATTTGATAAAAGAGGTGGGCAGATTTTAAAAAGGTAATTTTTTTCTTTACTAGATTCGTAATTTTTATTTCTGAGGAAACCCATTTGTTACAATTACCTGTTGACTGCTCACGAGTTAACTCGTATTCTCATGCTCAAACGTTGTTGACCAATCACGAGGTAACTCGTGTTTGCACTTGCATTAGCTATTTCAATTTTTGAAACTCAGGGTAATATAGGATTATTGTATTTGTGACTCTTTGCCCTGGGGGTCGAAGTTCGAAAAACAGCACCCTGTTCTATATTCTCATGCGGACTCCTTTTCTTCCTACTACTCTGGGCGTGAGGCCGCAGAATCGAAGGTACGGTGAACAAAAACTATCACAGTGTCCAGCCGTCTACACTTGGACTAACTTCTAACCGCTCGCAGTTTGAACATATGTATCAAGGATATTGTAAAATCTTTCTTCTTCGTGTTCAATCATGTTCAGTTTATTATTAAAAAAGTGACTTTTCTTGACATTTAGGTTTTTATCACAATTACAGTATTACAAAAGTTTCAGCCATGATGGA